AGCGGCGTGGGTATACCGTTCCCCATAGCGACCCCTAGAGGACGCAGTTCGAAGTTCCACGAAAGGGAACGTCTCGGGTTACTTATGTAACCATGGTTCCCTGAGGGGAACGAGACACTGCGTCCTCTAGTTTTTTGTGCCATGCTGCGGACACAAGCTACAGACGAAGAAGTGATGATGTGCGCTACCGGCGCCTATTTTGTACTAGTCGCGACGGTAGTGACGTCATGGCTGTCGCCGGCCAAACAAGTTGCTGTTTTTTCAATGTAGGCTTCAGACACAGGTCACGACGAGGTGTTCCCCATAGCGACCCCTAGAGGACGCAGTGTCTCGTTCCCCTCAGGGAACCATGGTTACATAAGTAACCCGAGACGTTTTGGTAGTTTGCAATGTGCAGATCGATCGTTGTATGTCACGAGAGCTATAGAGAGCAGATCAGACGGCTCCTTATGCTTTCGAATCGCTCTCGAGGTACTTTGGTGTCATTCAACGAACGAACAAACACGTGCGCTTATTTGTATCGCTTTGATCGTTCTCTTTAGATCTCACTTTCTCACACGCCACGATTGGTCGATTATATACAATACCTGCATGTTATTGGTCAAACTACTTTGGATGTTTTAGGCAATATAAAAATCCTGGCCAGTACGTGTACTAATGTTAATAGGACTCTGCCTATTAATTAGGGGCATAAAATCATACTTGAAGACTGAACATTAATGAACTGAATAGGGTTTGGAATAAAAATAAATATTTTTTTATAAGGGTTGATGCAACTGAGTCTAGCCAAAAAACTAAAATGTGTTCTTATGAAACATGACAAAGACAGAAAATGTATTAGAATGAGGTATGAAAATAAATTTACACTTTTGTTAAAAGAACAGTGCTTTTAGTTTTCCATTACTGATATCACTTTTTGGACATTTAACCTTCACTAATCTTGTTTGTTGTCATCACAAGTACTTATGTAACCTTTAAAGTATCAGCAAGAAATATTAGTTAAAGTATTTAAACTAGAAATTTTGGAATTGAGAAATCTGGAATTGATTCAAAAGTGTTTAGCTGTCATTCACCTACAGGCAGAACAAACTAACATGAGCTTAATAAGGTTTGCTTCAGATTCGCTGTGTTTGCTCCATTATCTGTCATGCTCAAAACACTGTTTAATGTTGGTTAAGATCATAAGTTATGTGATGCAGCTATTAATAGTCCAAAATCCAGCCATTACAAAACTTGATAAAGTAATAACAATTGACAGCAACTAAACTGCGGGGCATGAAGATGATGATAAACATGTATGCCTAACATATTTTGGGGACATATTTGTACCCAGAAGTGAGCTAAATCTCTCAAAACCTCCTTTTGGGAGTGTCCTCATTTGTGAAATACTTAGACTAGGTTATATTATTTATAAATAGCTGTATATAAAAACAGTGAAAGTCTATAGAACGTCCCCATTTAGATACAGTAAGTAGGCCTAAACGTGTGTTTTACTGTCGCTAGGAGGCAGTATTGCTTTACTTCAGTTCACAATAGGCTACATTCAATCCAGGCATACAGTAATGTAGCTACCAATAATAAACATAATAAACTACATCATTAAAATTACTTAAGAATTTAAAAATGGAATTTTCTTTTTCATTCCCAGGGTACTTCAAATCAGAAAAAGGCCAGCCAAATCTACTACATCAAGCCAGTGCACAATGATTTTAAATAAAGCCTAAATATGTAGCAAGCATAAAATTACAAGCATTTTGGTACCTATTTATTAATCTGGTGAGAATGTTGGTTTATCAATGCGGTATTGTATCTCCGATTTGAACTTTTTCCACTGTATATTCCTTAACATAAACAGTATACTGCTGTTCTAAGAGTACAATGGCCTGACTATTTATAACGAATCCACTGGTGCTCAAATGTGCTGCACACTGCAAGCTCTTGAGAATACACCAGCCTATTGTATTGTGTTTTCACAGAGTCAAATTGTTTGCATGTGATTGTCCAAATTGCTGAAGTGACGCTATTACAGTTTTTCTTGTTGAGCATGGCAGTCTGTCTTAGCGCATGGAATCGGCAAACCATTTAAATCAGCAGGAATATGGAGCTATTGGTATGAATTAATCTTTTTATGAACTCTTTTGTTTTGTTTTTGTTTTTGCTTACAAATTAAGACTGTAATATGCTTTTAAATGAAACCTTTGTAAAAAAAAAAAAAATTATTCAAAGATCTTGTCAATCTTTATGTGTCTGTGGGACTGTATATCTGATGTTGTCTTTAATCATAACGTAATCGATATTGCAGGCAGCCATGCACCAAGGTCAGCTGCTGTATTTCTCTAGGAGTGCAGAAGCTGCGGGGTCTTAAAGGGATAGTTCACCAAAAAATTAAATGGCTGTCGTCTTTTACTCGTTCCAAACCCGTAAGAGTTTCTGTCTTCTGTGAAACACAAAATCCGATATTAGCCAGAATGTTTGGAAACCACAATCAGAAGAATCAAAATGAAATGATTACCAAATATACTTTCGCTGGTGAAACTTCCTGTATTGTGTTTTCACAGAGTCAAATTGTTTGCGTGTGATTGTCCAAATTGCTGAAGTGACGCTATTACAGTTTTTCTTGTTGAGCATGGCAGTCTGTCTTAGCGCATGGAATCGGCAAACCATTTAAATCAGCAGGAATATGGAGCTATTGGTATGAATTAATCTTTTTATGAACTCTTTTGTTTTGTTTTTGTTTTTGCTTACAAATTAAGACTGTAATATGCTTTTAAATGAAACCTTTGTAAAAAAAAAAAAATTATTCAAAGATCTTGTCAATCTTTATGTGTCTGTGGGACTGTATATCTGATGTTGTCTTTAATCATAACGTAATCGATATTGCAGGCAGCCATGCACCAAGGTCAGCTGCTGTATTTCTCTAGGAGTGCAGAAGCTGCGGGGTCTTAAAGGGATAGTTCACCAAAAAATTAAATGGCTGTCGTCTTTTACTCGTTCCAAACCCGTAAGAGTTTCTGTCTTCTGTGAAACACAAAATCCGATATTAGCCAGAATGTTTGGAAACCACAATCAGAAGAATCAAAATGAAATGATTACCAAATATACTTTCGCTGGTGAAACTTCCAGTACACAGATAGATAGACAGACAGATAGATAGATAGATAGATAGATAGATGGATGGATGGATGGATGGATGGATGGATGGATGGATAGATAGATAGATAGATAGGCAGGCAGGCAGGCAGACAGACAGACAAATTACGTAGGCTATGTACACAATAGGGAAGACAGACAAAATATGTATGCAATTATACAAGGCAATGTGAATAAGGAAGGAGAAGGATATGTTAAAATATAAACAGTGTGTTTGGGTTTTACACGTTTTGTTGTTGTTGTTTTTGGTCTACTAACTTTCATTCATTTTCCATACATTAAAAAATATTTATTAGGCTGCGCTTGACAGGGAAAACATATAAGTCATACTTGTTTAGAACAGCATGTCAGTAAGTCCAGTTTTGGGGGAACTGTCTCTTTAAACGGGGCAGCTGAAAGGGGAAGTAAAACTCGCGTGGCTTGTTTGACAGCAGTGATTGCCACTTTCAGCTTGTGTCCGCTGTTGTAGCGATAAACAGTGTCCAGCGATGGCTCAATAAACCGCTGATCGATGATTTTAATGCGCTGAACTGAGAGAGCTGTAGATCAGGCTAACAATGCTAAGCTAGCACCAGTTGATCTGAGGTGTTCCCGCATTGAGTGAATGTGTGACTCTTCACCCTTCCCAGGATTAAATACCCGCACTTTCAACTGAAACAGGATTTGGTTTTTTACTTCAGACCTGCATTTTAAACATTTAAGCATGGAGACGTTTGAAAGCGGTAAGGCTGCAGCTAATATGAACTCTTTATTTGTACGCGAGGTCGTGCACTGCGAAAAGTTATCAGCTAACATGCTACGGCTAGCCGTATGTTTTGTTTTATGTATAAGGCAATTTAATCTCCTCAAGAACTTCTGTTATAGTGTGATAACTTGCTTTCATCGTGATCCTTGTTATGTGTCAATGATTTTAGAATTAGATTTGTACGCGAGGTCGTGCACTGCGAAAAGTTATCAGCTAACATGCTACGGCTAGCCGTATGTTTTGTTTTATGTATACGGCAATTTAATCTCCTCAAGAACTTCTGTTATAGTGTGATAACTGGCTTTCATCGTGATCCTTGTTATGTGTCAATGATTTTAGAATTAGCTCGTTTGATTAAGATATCATGTATGCAATGTTCAAGCATGCTAACAGACAGATATGAATAACATTTAAATGATGTTATTTCGCAGATCAGTGCATCTGCTTTCTGAATTTCAGTGCGCTTCAATAGGTCGTAACAGGACCTCTGATTAAATTAAAATGTATCAGTGTTTATGAGGGGGTGGAAATGTCAGTAGGCTAAATCAGATCAGTGGTTTATTTGTTTTGGTGTCTGGCTGTCCTTCACGTGATGTCTCACAGTGATCTACTGTCAGCATCTGCATTTGACTTTATTCCATCGAAGTCATCACATCTGATCTTTCTGTCTGCGTGCATCAGACTCAGATCTCCAAAGAGTCCCATGGTTCATGTTTTGCACAAAATCTCCTCCCAGTCTTGGCAAGGTGACATTTGCTGCTTTGTGTTTTTATGGTCTTGTGTAAGTTTGACATGCTGGCCAGCTGGTTGTCACTTTTTAGTACTGTCTTTACTTCTCTCTTTGTGTAGGTAACTTAAGAGTTTCAACCATATAACTGTCACGAAATACAGTTGTCTGTCAGTGGCAGACCAAAAAAAAAAGTTCTTCCGTTACTTGTTCTTGTTGACTTCCTGAATGAAAGTTTGACTGTTAAGAAAGTTTAGCTGACAAAACCTATCAAGAACATATCTGGGTCATATTTCCTATATATTTTTAAATACCATGAAGCAAAATGTTGCATTCTTAATACTTAATACAAAATGTAGTATTTAAAGTGTATAGTATTTAAACATCAAGGTAGTATATGTTTCAGATTAGGCCTTTGTGCTTATTTAAAGAATCATACAGTATTGAGAATTTAATGAGAATCACCATTGTTAATAATTGGAATTTCAAAAAAATTTGAGAACCAAATATACTTAGTCACAATGAAATCAAAATTGACAAATCTTATTTTGTATTGAATATTGCAGTGCATTTACTATTATAAAAATAGAAAATGATAAATTATTTATCAGTGTACATCATTCTTTTTTAATGCGCCCTCCTAATTGTTCATCAAAAGCATTAACTTCTCTTCGCAATGATGTCAGCACGAGGACGGGATTATAATCTGACCCTTCCAGCAACCTGTCACTCTCATGAGATCACAGCAATTAGCAAACGACTATGATCCAGTCAATTCCCAATGGACAAAAAAATTTTCTTACCAGAGAAGCCATGCACTCGGATATATACGTCACAGTTGGAAAGAAAAGACGATCACATCTTCCGTTTCTTGCTAACTGTAATCAGCATGAATATAATCTCACAATGCAGAACATAAAAAAAAAAATAGGCTGAATTTTAATCACATTTGCAAAATATGCCAATGGTTCAAGAAATGTGACCTTGACATGTTTTTGTGAGATTTACAAAGGAACTGTAGCAAGTGTTTGATGAATAATTTACAAACTCTGCATGACCCTAAATGAATGTTTTGCGCTAACGGTAAACGAGTCATGTGAAAGAAGTTGAAATTCAGGTCACTTAAAGAAGAAGAGTATTTGAGCAGCAGACCTGAGTTTGACCCCAGGTCAGCAGGTAGGACACATTTAACACATTCAAGCAATGTGTTAAATGGTAATTTGATCACTGTTAACTTAGACAGTGCCTTGATTTGTTATTGAATTTATTTAGTCTAATTCTCTGTTGAAGAAGGATGTAAAAGAGGACCAATGCAGACACTTTGTTCTCTCAGGGTATTGAAAAATCTTATGCAGACAATCGTTGAGGCACATTGAATTGAGTATGAAATAGGCTATGCTGTACATTGGTGACAGCCTGTGGCCAAGGGTGCAAGTATTTACTGGAACAGTCTTAATGTTTGTCTGCACAGATGCATTGAAAGTACTTTTTCTTTCATCATTAGTTTCACTTTCATTTGCCTTCTACGTTTTACTCTCAGAGTACAAAACACTTGTGTGGGCTGACTACAAAATCTTCTCAGAAAAGTTTTCAGTTGTCTTAGACGGCAGCACTCTTGTCAACAGGAAGCCACTTTTGTATTCACACACCATTTTCTGTTTCCACTGTAACCTACAGAAAGAGCTCCACTGCCCAGGAACATGATTGAGAACAGCATGTTTGAGGAAGAGCCAGATGTGGTGGATTTGGCGACGGAGTCCCCATCCTACCCCATCGACTCAGACGATGTGGTCTATGAACCCCGCAGCTCGCGACTGTTAGTCAGAGGCCTTGGAGAAAACGACCTGGATGAAGACGAGGAAGATTATGAATCGTCTGCGCGTCTTCTTGGAATGTCCTTCATGAATCGCAGTTCCAACCAGCGCAGCGCTGCCTCATCCTACACCCGACAGCAGCATTCTGGATCGTGCTCCAAGCCTTCGACTAAGACTATGGTGGCAGGTGGTGTTGTCCTGGTTCTGGTGGCCTCCATGTTAATGGTCTTCTACTTCCTGCTAGGCTGCACTTTCACCACAGCGGGCTGCCAGAAGCCCAATTCGACCATGGACAGCATCTGTCCCATTTCCACAAACGGTAAACTTTTCCCGTGGGCCGAGTTGAGGTTACCGCCCAGTGTGCAACCTGTGCATTACAGTATTTCACTCCATCCCAACCTGACCCTCATGACCTTCCAAGGCAGTGTATCCATCTTAGTGCAAGTCTTGCATGAAACGAAGAATATTGTCCTTCACAGTTCTGATATGAACATAATCAAGGCCACTTTTGAAGGCAAAGAGGTCCACTTCCTGGAGTGCAAACCTTGGCAGCAAATCGCCTTCAAATTTCCAGAAGACCTTAAGAAGGGACAGTACGTTTTGAACATTAACTACACAGCAAACCTCTCCAGCAACTTTGATGGCTTCTACAACAGCTCATATGTCGACACAAATGGTATAAAAAGGTATTTGCAGCCCAGTTAACCTTTGTTTAACCTTCTGAACAGTTAGGATATGTTTGAATTAACTATTTGGCTTCAGTGTGTTTATTGACAGTTACTTCTACTTAGTTATGTCATTATTCCTCTCAGACACATCGTTTAATTCACTCCATCTTCTTCTAGAGTTTTGGCTGCTACTCAGTTTGAGCCCTTGGCAGCCCGCAAGGCTTTTCCTTGTTTTGACGAGCCAGCTTTTAAATCAACTTTTACAATTAAGATGACCAGAGAAAGCAAGTACATCAGCCTTTCAAACATGCCCAAGGTAGTTATTTTTGTAAATATTTATTTATTTACTTGCACTTTTCTTTTTCTGTTGGTTTTTTTTCCACTTTAAATTAAGAGGCTAATATATAAGACATTTTAATTGCTGTTCAGTTATGTCATTATATTTTGTAACGTTTCATTTTAGTCTTTCTAATAGAAAACTGAGAGACTGATACATAAAATCTTTAATTGCTTTTTTTTATTTAAATGTGTGTGTGTGTGTATATATATATATATATATATATATATATA